GATGAACAAACTATTTATTGAAATCAAAGAAAGGGGACATGTATAGTATTGAAGGGTGCAAGGAAAAGGCAAAATACTATTAAGAATATTTCCCCCCCTAGCAATAGCAAAGCTGTACAAATGTTTTTAAAAAAATAATTTTGCACAAGATTTACACTGTACACTCCTTTATTTGTACAAACGGATCAATGTTTGCATTTTGCGCATTTCATTTATAGCTTATTATATTTAAATACATACAGTACAGTATTATGCCTTTCACACAATTAAGGTGCAATTTATCAAAACATGATTATTTGAACAGTTCCTTTTCAGTGTTCTTTGGCACGTACCTGGATTATTTATTGAACAGAACAGTGTAAGACTGTCTAAGGCTACAGATTCGTTGTTTGTTGATAGTAAATAAGTGCATTTTTTTCAGATTAGCACAAGCTTATTTACAAAATCATTATCTTCTATGAATTTCAGTTTGTGTTACGTAGCTAACTGATAATGTCCAAAGAAAAGTTTATCTTCTGCAATAATGTTTTGCAAGGGAGAATCAAACTGCACCATAGGTATTGGTGTTAAGCACTAACTAGATGAACTCGTTAACAATATGGAATGTTTTCGTAAAGAAATCACACTCAAATGGTCCATATGACAATATATCTCCATTATTACTCTACACTAGGAACTTTCATAAAAGGCTGCTATTTATCTTTCACCAGTCAGGTGTATATGCTGGTAGACAAGCTGGTATATAATTCACCATAAGCCTGCTTCTCGGTCACGAGACCTGTATTTTGGTACTGCAAGCTTTCTGAGTCATTTACAAGATTAAACAAAGAACAAACAAACAACATGCAGTGAATCACATACAGTAAATGCAATACTTTAAAAACGTAACACTTTCTCTAAGCCATTCAGTGAATAGCTGTGAAGTTAGGACTGTATTCAATTGCACCCTCTCCCTCAATAGAATAGCATCTGCAATGACACACAAGGAATGGACAGGAGTGGAGGAAAGATATGAAATTACAGTTTGCTTGTATACCCATGAAATGCATTCTTTTATCTCCTCTATCAAACAGAGAGCTCTAAAATTGTGTCCTACGGCTTCCAAAAGAAGATTACTAAATGAGGAAACCTACTTTATTAGGTTTTACTGTAGTTTGCTGCAAAGCTGTTGTGATTGGATTAATCAAGGAGTTCCACTATGTCATAGCTATAATTTATAATGGAAATGAAAATATAAAGTTCTCAAGTAATAATTTCCAATTTCAACAACAAGGTTTAAAAATACACATATATTTTCAAAAACTTCACACTTACTCCAGAACTATCCTTCTGCTTTTCCTATTTAATAGTTAATTAGCTACAGGAGTAGTTATTTTTGCACAGAATCAATTTAAAAAGAAATGTCTCAGTAGCAATTGAAATATAAGAATAGTGAGGATATCATTTTAAAAAATAATTCTGTGCATGGAATTCTGTGCATCTGGAAATACTGTTTTATTATTCCTCATAAATAGCTTGTCTCCAGCTCATTGCTCCAACCTCTGGGAATGGTCATAGCAAGCAGACATCTAGAATCCCTAAAAATACGACACAGCCTTTTCATGTTTTTATAACCTGGCTTTTTCATATATCTGCACACAATGACCAAATGCTGCAATAACTACGAGCCGAAGACAATCTGTCCCAAAGGAATGTATTTATCCTCTAAATCTCACTAAAAGATTTCAATTCAGAATCTTAGACAGGTGCTACTGAGGAATCTTAAGAGTGCTAGCATTCATCTCAACTATGACGGAACATTTTTTCTGACAACATAACTAGGCTCGAGAATATATTTATATTTCTGTATTGGGCCTCCTGAAGAAAGCTCCACAGCTCTGAACATGGATGGCTGCCTCTCATCAATTGACTGGGAAGAAAAAAACCAAGTTCCCAGTTGTGGGGAAATATGGTATGGGCAGCCTGTACAACAGGAGGAACAGAATGGCTGCATTCTCTGTTTCTGAATGGCTGAGGGAGACAGGAATTGTGTGTGAGAGAGTGAGATAGTATGTATATATTCATTTCTCTGTATGCCTGTAGGAATACAGGCAGAAGACAAAGAACAGCATGAGGAATCGATAGTGTAATGATCCCAAGGTATGGATTGACTTAGGTTCTCTCATGTCCTTTAATCCAATGTGGTCCTCTGTTAGTCAATCAATTTCAGAATTGTGATGTCTGGGTGAATGATATGGTGTCAGACTTATCAACGGCAAAAGCCCCATTCACATAAGATTTCTTTGTCTCTTTTTCCTCACTGTCGGTTGTTTCCAAAGCAAAAGGATTCACAATGTTAACTTCTGAGATGGTGTCCATCTGCTCTAGTTCCATTTTGGAGAGTTTTTCCACAACTCCAGTTCCAAAGGCATCGCCAAGAACATTAACCATTGTTCTGAATCGATCCCTAGAAAACAACATTTTTAGGATAGTCAGGATAGGTGGCAATAAATTCAACCTATATATAAAAAGATTTGTACCCCAGCTTTATCAATATTGGCAAAATATGTCAGTTTAGAATTCTTACATTGTAACTAAAGACATGATGCAAAGATCAAATAAATTTTGAGGAGTCTCATGTAGTACTCAACAATCCATTTTTCAACATTGGAATTTCAAATGTCCTTGAGCATCAAAGTCCAATCTAATATCTGTTGGCTTCCCCGTTTCTGCAGAGCTACCTGCTTTGGGGTCAACAGAATGACAAATAAAATGTTGGGGTCAAGGGCTACATTATGCCTACATCTTCATTACTTATGTAGTATTGGAGATTTCCAGGTGGCAAGTATTAGGACCACTGAACTAGACACGGTAAGGAAAATACGGAATAGCTATATAAAGTGGGTGAGAGAGGGTAAGGAAAAGGATGGATGAAGTGCTGAATGTATTTGGGAGGACTACAGGCAGAAGACAATATCCTCTGGGATTTTCATCATATTTTGTGAATAAAATAGGGTAATTGTGCGGCAGAGCCTTCTTATAAGTACTGACTTTCTTATACAGTACTTTGGTCATAACTTGGCCAACCTAAGGGAAATGTCAGTCACCCCTGCTATAAATTCAAGTTCTAGTAAATGCAATACTAGTTCTTCTGCATGAAACGGTTTTTGGCGTCTGGAAAAAGAAAAAAATTAAATCAGGAAACCTAATGAATGTCTTAGTGGTGGAGTGTTAATTTCTTATTCTCCAGACACATCTTCAGCAAATTGGCAGGGCCTTTTTTTTAAAAGGGGATTCCACTTGGCAAAGGTATGCTAACCACTTAATATAAATTCAGGGATATTGAACTCTGCACACTGAGTTACTTTTTACAAGGTGAAAGATTATAGAGTTAAGGTAATAAGTGAAACAATGTGAAAATCTTCTAAAGTAATGAATTGCTCGGTATTTCATTCCTTCTGTATATAATTATCATGTCATTTTCTTCCTGCTGGAAGAATATATCTTCTGAACAAAAATGCATCAGATGAGATTACCGTACAAGTTTATAATAATATTTCAGGTGGTGTTAATTTTAGCTCCTATTGTATGCAAATAATCAAGTTCATGCAAAGGAAAAAAAAGGGAATATTATTGGATACCCTGGAGCGTTGGAATGAATGCTCAGTCCAATACTTGTTAATATTGTAACACAGTGTCAACTAAATGTTAACATTATTGTGAAATACCTTAACTGGTGCCAGCAAAAAACACTGATTAGAAGTATACCGATTACACAACGCAATGGGCTCATTGATATTTTTCATGTAGAGATGCATAAGAAGTGTAGAAACTTACAGAAGCCAGTCCACGGCAATAATGAGGGTAACATCTTCAGCTGGCAGTCCCACTGCACTCAGTACAATCACCATGGTAACAAGGCCTGCCTGTGGTACCCCTGCTGCTCCAATGCTGGCGGCTGTTGCTGTCACACTGCATCCCAAATCAAAAAGACAATAACTGAGGTGGGGTCTGACCAACAGAGCATAAAATGGTACAGTGTATTTGTAAACTCTGTTTCTGTTGTTGGGGCCTGAAACTGCATTTGCCTTGTTTTACAGCTGTTACCACATCACTGGTTCATATTTGTTTGTAATCAATTACAATTAGAAAGACAAATTAGTGATACAAAGCAATTTCGATACAAATGAAAATTTATTTGGGAAGTGGATGAAAAGGACAAAACAAGGTGCTTCTGAAGAAATGGAATAAAAAATAAATAAAAGGAATGAAATAAATGGATTAAATTGAAGTAGGAAATGGTGGAAGGAATGTTTTAGAGATGTTTATAGGACAGTGGGGTGGTAATATTAACTTAAAATGAATGATGTAAATACTAGGTGGTGGAAAGGAAGCCGTAAGTGATACAAGAATGTTGAGAAATAGGAAGGCTGCAGGAATAAACAGTGTTAACTGGACAACTGCTTAAAAGAATGGCTTACAAATTGTGTGTTATTATTTCCTTGTTTAAGAGCTCCCCATCGAGATCCCTTTCTTACTAGCTTTTCCAGACATGGAATCAGACTCATTATTGCTCTTTCATAAAAAAAATATGTTGACATTGAAGATGTGTGTTACAGTGCTAACTACTGCCAGCTGAGTCAACTTGCTTAACAGAATATGGTATTCCAGGGGTGTCAAACTCACGGCCTGCCAGCCAGATGCATCCCCATCCAGTTTAGCGAAGGGGGGGGAAGTCCCGATATGTCATGCGACAATGCGAGTTTGACAGCCCAGTGGTATTCAGAGAAGAGAAAATGTCCCAACTTGAGAAACCTACAATTTATAGCTCTATCATGAAGCTACAAACTTCTCTTCTGCATCTTCCTTCTATTTCTGTTGTCTATCAAGCCAAGCAATTTGTAACGTAGGATATTTGAAATTGGTTTAGGCCATATGGTGTCCAAATATGATGATCTTAGTTGAGTAATACAGTTAAATTCAGTGACATTCTGAATTTAGCAACACAATGTGTAAATTAGTAATGAATACAGCTAATAGGTTTCAGTGCTTAGACATTCCACTGGGCACAAAGTTGAGTTTTACTGTTAAGTGTTGAAATATAATCCATGCTACAATTTAACTGTGACCTGAGGTCTTGTTCTTATGAGAGTGTATTGCAAAGCAAAGCATAATTTTACAGGAGATTCATCTCAAGCTAGATAACCTTCAACGTCCCTTGCAACATTAAGATTCTCTAATTCTAAATATTATAGATGAAAAAAGAGATAATGGTTACTATGATAAATAAAAATAAATAAAATATGTGATACAACATAACCCTTACCTAATGGTCACTATTTGGCCAATGTCTAGCTCTAAGTCATTAAGCTGTGCAATAAAAACAGCAGCCACTGCTTCATACAGTGCGGTTCCATCCATGTTGATTGTTGCTCCAACTGGTAAAACAAATCGAGTAATTCTCTTGTCAACGTGATTTTTTTCTTCTGCACAGCGAAAAGTCACGGGTAAGGTGGCTGAACTAGATCCCACAAATCAAGGGGGAAAGATAAAGACATTAAGAAGAAATAGGTCAGTAAGAAGCCAATGTGTGCATTTATTAATTTTACAGTCAGATCAAGACAAAACTAACATCAATAAAAATACAGCTTGTATGTGATAAAGTCTAAATTAATATCAAATGAATGTCTGAAATAAATTCATGGGTAAGTTCATTTAAACTGTATTACCCAAGAGCTAAATGTAAGCATAGGGAAAAAATTGTTATACCTGGAAGAAATCATGAGTGCAGTCAATAGTGCTTGAGCCATACCTATGGCAAACTGGTATGGATTTTTCCGCACTATGATTAAATATATTAGTGGTAGAATGACCACAGAATGGATTGCAAGTCTGAAATAGAAAACATACATTAAGTACTGTAATATTCAACATTAGAGTCTTAGTGAACAGATGTAGATGGGTCTCAAAATTTATCAACAGTGAGAGAAGCAGATTTTCCTAAGATTCAGAAAGCTGTTTAAGCTAGACCACAAATTAGCCCTTTTGTATTTGATAACATAAGGTATACTACTCAGCAGAATGTTGTTAAATGCTAGTAAAACTTTCAATTAGTCACTAATTAATCATTAAATGCATGTAAATCAATCTGGATGTCATTTGTGTTCTACGAAAATAACCGAAAAGTGGCAACATGGAACAGAGAAGAAAGAATGAAGCAATCTTCCCAACTCTTCTTTAAGCAAATTTCTTGAAACACATTTGTAGGTATTTGCAAATAACATGCATCAGGAAATCCTCTATTCTCCCAGCATTTCTTCCCCACTTGTGCAACACACACAAATAATATTTTATTTTACATTAATCTAATAAGGATTTCAGACCATGAATATGCAGCCTAAGAATAATTCAACAGCCATGTCAATTCTCAGATTCAAGTGCTTTCTTTTATCTTTCATATCTGAGGCAATCTGTTTTTTTTTTAATATATTGCCTGTGAACCAACAATTGAATTTAAAATGTTGTATTCTTAATTCAGTATATTTTCAATCAGTGGTGGGTTTCAATTTATTTTACTACTGATTTGTTCATGTGGATGTTCGCACTCGCACGACACTTCTGCGCATGCACAGAAACGTCCAGGTGGGTGGGCGGGGCCTCTCGCCGCCACCACTACCAGTTCGCCCAATCTGGGGAGAACTAGCAGAAACCCACCTCTGTTTTCAATGTATTTGAAACACAGTGAATATCAATACAATAAAAGTTCTCTTAACTATAGAAAAACCTAATTTATCAATTCAAATTCAAAAGAAAATAAATAACATTTTATTAATTAGAGGAATAACATACCCACTCAACACAGTGGCCATATAAAGACCTAATTTGCGAAAAATCTCCCAGTCTTCAACTTCTATTATCTTTCCAGCAATCAAAAACAAAATACCCAGAGGCATATACCTAGAATGTACAAAGAAACATTAACATTTATGCTAAGATAATTTGCAACATAAATCTCACAGGGGAGAGGAATGCAGTATTATTTCACAGAAAGGATATTTATCTAACTTTTCTTACATCTATTGCAAAGGATGGAAAAACTAAATGGACAGTTCTGGATGTCTAAATAGTGTGTTTGTAGATTGTTTAGCTGAAGAAAGCACATGTTCCCCAAAGGATCCACACCACATAGTAAGATAATTGGTGACAGCTTTCTTCTGGCCATTTGAGTGGAAACTTTGAGTAACACAAAGCAATATTTCTAAGAAATCCAAAAGATTAGGAGGGTCATTGGAAGTTTGCCAAAAAATACTGGTTATACCAATCGTTTGGGTAGACCCAATTGTTCAATTTTGGCATTCCTAATATAAATCTATTTAACTGTTCAGTTAAAAAGACAGTATCACCATTAATTCATTATACTTAAATAAAAATAATCTTAGAATAATCCACAATCAATATTTCAGAAGCTATCAAAACAATTGATTGATTTTGGTTGTGAATTATTTTGTTTGTATTTATTCAACTTCAACTTATTAAACAAGAATGGTGCCATTTTCCACAAAAAGATAGGATATGTCCCTTAAAAAAACAAATATAATCGTAAATCCAAATTTGATGTATCTTTGGAAATAATTCAACTATAGGTACTGGTGAATAATTTATCTCATTAATTTCCATGCAGCTATTCTAAGCATGATCAAACCTGCATTTAATTTATAATTCGGAACATGCATTTTACTGAAATACTAATTAATTCTATTATTTGGTGACCATGTTAATTAATTCAACTTAGCATGAGAAGCGATTTATCAAAATGATATTTTGTTTGATCAAACCATTCAAACTTCCAGGTAGATACTTTTTTATTATTATTAGTTGAACTGGATTCTTATGTATATTTTAAATTATTTAGATACAGATGCACACATATGTCCCATATGTAGCTACCAAATGCAAAGGTGAGGTTTGCAAAATGCACGAGCAAAGCAGCCATATCTTCTCAAATGGTGGCAGACTTTCTGAAGCCTTTCCCTGCTCTTGGATCAAATGTGCAACCAAGTAGTAAAAGGGATTGATGAAAAGACGCTCTCCCACTTACCACATAATTATCTGAACTATATACATTGTGGCATCGTTCAGGGCATTGAAAAAATCCACCAGCACTTGTCCTTTTTCTCCCATTTTCCCAATAACAATTCCAAAGACCAGACAAAAGACTATCAATCCAAGCACATTAATACCATCCGAATACATGCCCACTATTTTGTATTCTTTAGTTTTGTTCTGTAGATTGAGAAGGGAAGACAGAAATGCTCAACTAGCAATAACATATTTTGCAAATATGAAGATTAAACAATTAAACTCTTGTCTGGAAGCAGATTAACCTTGCTAAAGGTTTGTTTGTACTTAATTTTTTTGACTATATAGTGTAATAAGGCATTTGTAGCTTGATCTTAAAGGAGTTATTTTGCTACCCATTAAATGGGCAGCCCATTAAAGAGGGGTGGAGCTTTGAACATGACACTGGGCCCATCATCAGGCAGATATTGTCCCCCCTCTACAGACACTCCTGTCTCCAACTTCTTGTTACAAGCCATTATTTCAACAACATAAATTTCACTATACAAATTATTTCTACATTATTTCAGTAATGTGAAAGCTGTATAATACACAATAGCAGCCATATCATAGGAATCATCCAATAACATCTTAAAGACTAATAGCAATTAAGGATACAGGAATCTTTCTGTTGTGCCACAACAGAATGACACAGTTGCCTTCCCTTTACCTGTGAAGTCTCAGTTGGCATTATAGCTGTGATTGGTTCTTCTGTTGGAAAGCTTCCGTTTTTATCAATGCTTGGGATTTTTATTTCTTCACGTTTGGTCTTATACTGGAAGGTAAGAATACATGTGTTGTGTTGGAGAGAATGATGAAGGAAACATTTATTTTTAAAGTTCTTTTAAAACTTTGTTAATAGGCAAGAGTTCACACATACTACTACCCAGAGGTAGTATTCAGCCGGTTNTGGCTGTGAAAGAAAAGGGAGTGCAACCCGCACGGCTTGTTCAAACAGCAAAAGAAAGGGACAGGAAAGGAGTTTGGCTGTTTGAAAAGCCCTGCTTGGAACTCCTCTCCTGTTCCTTCTTTTGCTGTCTGTACATGCCGAGCGGGTTGCGCTGCCTTGTCGGCAAGGGTGCTTTGCAGCGACAGGGGCCAGGACTGTAACTGTAGCAACATCTTTTTTATTTGTAGGTTTTCAACTGTATAAAAGGGGGGGGGGAATCCAGACTGCAAAAACTGAATCCTTTGCAGGAATTCCAGGGTCATTCTAAACAATTCTACCCTATTTTTAACTATTATTTTTTTAAATCCTACACAATACAAATGGCAAGGAGTTTTAATTGTGATATGAATGCTGTATGGAGGAGATGTTTTTAATCCAGCTACTGTTTCTGAATCCTGTATTAAGGGATGTGACAACATAGTTTTACGGTTTCATGACTGCAAACAATAAATAGAAACCATCAATTACCCATTCATTTTTATTACTGAGATTAGCTTGCTCCTTCTAGTACAATCTGTTACATAAAAATCCTATCCATTCCTCCTCTGCATCTGCTTCATTTCTGCAGAATCTATTAGTATAAATGAAGATCATTTGTTTAAAAAAATCCAACTATGATAAATGGAGGAACACTAAAAGTTTAAGCCACCTAACTGTGTTCGGTACAAGGCAGGCAAAAGAATGTGGCTTGCCCTGATGTAAAGAGATGCATTCGTGATTTTGTTGGTCAATTCTACCCCTAGAAATCTGCCTGACTCCTTGGCCTGAAAATGTCACCCAGGAGAATCTGAATTCTTTATGGGCATATTGGTGAAGCATTTTGTCTGGAGATGCTGATTTACATCCCAAGTCAATTTCCTGCCCCTTCACTCTATGATACTATTGTTACTGGAACTATTGCTATTAAAACATTATTTCATGGGGAGAGAGACAGGACTGTCAAGCAGAAAAGATCAGGTCCACACATGATGATCCAATTAAACTCAGGGGTAAAATCTACTTACCTTTGCTACCAGTCCACAAATGTGAGCGCTTGTGCGCTCACTTCGCTCACATGCGCCCCCTCCATGCATGCACAGGACCTTACGTGCATGCATAGAGTGTCAAAAACAGAGGTGATGACATCCAGGCAGGTGGGCAAAGCTGCTACCAAGCACGCCTGCAAAGGTAAGTAGAACAGCGGATGTGGGGGGGGGGGAATCCACTATGCCACGTAATTTAGATTAGCTAGAAAGCAGGAAATCCTGCTTTCTTGCTAATATAAATCACATGTCACAGTTGATCATCGGAAATACTGGTTCGCCTGAACCGATATCATTTTTTAACTACCAGTTCAGGCGAACTGGTCCCAACCGGTAGCATCTGCTAGGAAAGGAGTTCCCAACCCCCCTGCCGTGACTCACTATCAGGCCTTAAGCATTTCAGAACCGAGCCGCAGAAGTGGTGGGCGCATGTGGAACCATCCCTTCTTCCCCCTGGTGGTCCGCAAAGCCAAAAAGATTGGGGAACTCTGTGCTAGGGATTAGATAAGGGATGAATGAATTCAAGGGGTGGGTGGAATTAGCTTGTTTGTGGCTATGTAGAGATTCTAAGCTGATGCCTTTTTAACTTCACCTTCAGGTTCTGCCACTAAGCAGTAGCCTATGAAGCAGGGAGGAGGTATTCTGAGAATCAACCCGAAACAGTCTGCTCATGAAAGGGTCTCGTGCTCTACTGCAGTGCAGAACTCTTCTGTAACAGCTAGGCCTATTCAGCAAGGCCTCTCAACTCCTAGGTTTCGGGCAGAAATCATGAAGAACAGATAGAACCTGCCTAGAAGTGCCTGAATTCATCCAAAGTATTGAACATAGCAGATAACTTATTTATTGATCAACATTTTTTTACAAGGGCAGGTTATAAGGTTGAAACATGAACAATTCATTCTTTTAGGGACATAAGAATAGAAAAAAGCCACCTTTCTGCATCTTTATGACTTTTATGATTACACCTTGTTTAAATAAAATTAGTTAATATTATAAAGAAATTGGGCTGCATACACAAAGTATTTTAAACATTTTTTTAATATTTAGAATGTAGTATTGATACATACTGTTTGTAAATAAGACCACACTGATATTCTCCCAATAGGAAATTCCTTGCTACACTTGAATTCCTCTGTGAAGATGTCCTAGGAATACCATATTTGAAAGGAATTGAAATGCTCAAGTAATATACAGAAACTCCAATGGAAATGATTAATTTTTGCACATGTAGGGCCTGCGTGATGATTCAGAGCCAAATCCCACAAGGTTAATCCTGGTCAATGACTTATATGTTTATCAGTGATTTGAAAGTTTTTCCATTCGTGAAAGCTACAATAAGTTTCTTTATGATCATCTTTAGGCTTATGTTTGTGCATCAGGTTGTACGTTCATGTATATTGCTGCTACCAATATACATACATACATACATACATACATGCACACTGTATTTTTCGGAGTATAAAACGCACCAGAATATAAAACGCACCAAGATTTTGAAGAGGCAAATAAAAAAAAAGTTTTTGCACTTTGCAGACTTCCCAAAAACAGCCTGTTTTTCGCAAAAACTGGCCCATTTTTTGTCAAAAAAAATGGCATGCATAGCCTTTAGGAGGTTTATAGAATGCTCCTCAGGGCTGGGGGGGGGGCAAAATCAAGCAAAAAACGGCCTGTTTTTTGCTCATTTTTTCCCTCCCAAGGCCCCAGGAGCACTCTGGAAGCCTCCTAAAGGCTATGCAGGGCCATTTTTGCAAAGGGCGTGGAGTATCGGGAAGTCAGTGTATAAAACGTACTCAGATTTTCACCCTCTTTTTTGGGGGGGGGAAGGTGCATCTTATACTCCGAAAAATACAATACGTACATACATACATACATGCCATGTTTTACTGAAAATAAGACAAGGTCTTATTTTATTTTGACCTCAGAAATAAGCGCCTGGCTTTATTTTCAGGGAGGTCTTATTATTTTTGAGGGGCAGGAGGCAGCAAACGTAATCACCTCATGGCTACAGCTGTGTTGCAATATTTTTGGGGAGGGCTTATTTTTGGGGAGGGCTTATTTTAGCGCTTGCGCTCAAAAGTCTGATTGGGCTTATTATCTGGGAGGTCTTATTTTCAGGGAAACAGGGTACATATACATATATACCCACTTTGTAGAGGAGGATTGATATTGGTAGCAGCAATTCTGCTCTACAAGGTGGATCAGCTTCCAGTGTATTACCAAAGTGTAGCTGAAAGAAGTGATGAAGCCCTTCGACTGGGCACATATTGTACTTCTTTAAGACAGAGACAATATTTGTGGTTTGTTGCTTCAGGATCTCCATTAGTAAAAAGAAGTAATTGTGGCTTAGGATGCGTACACGATTCCACTGTTTAGGATTATTTGTTATAGGTTGATTGCTTCTGTCATCCCAAGTATTGAAGCAGTTCTCTTCAGGGTTCTTTAAGAGTTTCAGGTTTAATTCACCTGTTTCTTTAGGTAAAAATATCAGCCAAATATATGTATGTTTGTTATACTATATAAAGCCAGTTTGGTGTAGTGGTTAAGGCCTTAGGCATGGAAGGTGGCTCGGCAACTTTGAGCCAATCAACTTTGTCTCAGTAACCTCACCTGGTCACTTGCTTTGGAGAAAATAGAATGGGATATTACATAAGTTTGCTATCATTATAAAAAAGTAATAAAGGCAGGATATATATAAATCCGTCTGGCTTAATTGTAAACTTTTGTTACTTACATGTGAATGTTGAAATCCATTAACATAGAGTCGCCAGGAGCCACTTATTTGAGAGTAGCTCCTAATAGGGCTTTTGTGACAAAACTATGTCACAAGAAAACTCCACAGCTCTGAACATACTGGCTGCCTCTCATAATTGACTGGGAAGAAAGAGCCCATGTTCCCAGTTGGGGGAAAATATGGTATGGGTAGACTGCACAACAGAAACAGAATGGATGGGCTTTTCTTCTATCCTGCTTTTCTAAATAAACCAGATCAACAGAAGGTCCCGTTCCTCATCAGTGCTGATACATAAGTCTACATACAGACAAAGAACAAGGATAGACTGGATGAACAAACTATTTATTGAAATCAAAGAAAGGGGACATGTATAGTATTGAAGGGTGCAAGGAAAAGGCAAAATACTATTAAGAATATTTCCCCCCCTAGCAATAGCAAAGCTGTACAAATGTTTTTAAAAAAATAATTTTGCACAAGATTTACACTGTACACTCCTTTATTTGTACAAACGGATCAATGTTTGCATTTTGCGCATTTCATTTATAGCTTATTATATTTAAATACATACAGTNGCCACCCTGGCTCTTACAGCTAAGTTTTTATTGTGCGACCATGCTGCTTTTTTCACAGAACCTATAGCAAGCTTAACTGTAATTTATTTCAATTAGTAATCCTCATAACTTTCCCCACCTCTGCTGCTTCTTCTTTAATCAGAAAGGGGATTGATTTTTTACTTATAATATTCAAAACCTTCAATTTAGAAGCCCCCAATTCTGCTGTAATTTATGTACAAGTTACTTAATCATTCGACTGATTGTCCCATTTGTGTACCACTACCACTTGATAAAATCTCTTTCAGGAAGCAAAACTAGGAGTTGTTCCTTCCAAGCTAGATATTCAATCACATGGTTAAATATTAATTTTGATAGTAAAGAGAAACCTGTATCCTTGTGAAATGGCATACGGAGATTATAACCTGGACAAGAGGTGTAATCTCTTACTGTTTATCATGACACTTTAAGATGGATAATATCCAAGTTTGTTCTTCTCTGTAAGTTAGATAAAAATTGACTATTTATTGCTAGCTTGCTAACTTATTAAAAAATGTCCCACTACATTTCAAATGTAAAGATTTAATTACTCAACGGTTGAACGACTTATTACCTAAAATTACAGCTAAGGCAGTAGTGAAGAAGTAGTACACAACTGCTCGCAGGCCAATCTTTCCAGAAACACTGGAGTCCAATGCAGCAACACCTGGGAAGATTTTAAGGAAAAAGAGAATTTTTAGGGTATATATTTATAAATAAATGCAATGTGATATAGTTGTGATATATTTAAACTACATTCTTCATCTTCCTATAATAAGAATTACCTTTCTGCATTGGGTCATAAATCCAAGTAGACTTGCACTCTGCTTCCAATATTTGCTGACTATACAATCAATTTTAAGTTCACAAGCAGAATATTACGGCTATCATTCTTGCCTATCTCTTGCATGGATAATCAAAAATACATTGTTCTAAACAGGAGGAACTGACTTGGCTGTCAAATCCAATACTCAGCTCTCCTTCCCGCTGTATTATTGTTTGAGGTAAATACAACTCATTTCACTTGCTGGAAGAAAATCCAACAATTTTTTAAAAAAATCAGAAGAGCCTTAAAGAAATTTAAGTATGCAATCAGTTATTATGAATCACAGAATACTTAAACCAGAATAAATGTGCTGATCTTTGAGTACATATAGTCCCATCATGCTATTATTCAAGGTAAAATATATAGGTAGGCCTCAATTTGCAACAGTTCATTTAGTGACTGTTCAAAATTACAACAACACTGAAAAAAGAGACATAAGGCTGATTTTCACACTCAAGACCATTGCAGCATTCCCATGGTCACATGATCAAAATTCAGCCGCTGGACAATTGACTCATATTTATGACTATTGAAGTGTCTCAGGGTCACCTTTTGTAATCTTTTGACAAGCAAAGTTAATGGGGAAGCTAGATTCACTTAACAACTGTGTTACTAACTTTACAACTGCAGGCATTCACTTAAGAACTATGGCAAGAAAGGTCATAAAATGGGGCAAAACTCACTTAGCAAATCTCTCACTCAGCAACAGAAAATTTGGGCTCAATTGTGGTCATAACTCGAAGACTACTATATTATATTAAATTCAGAAAAGCAGTCAGAAATAGTCAAAATATTAAAGGCATGAAGTACAAAAATAAGGAAAAAATAGCTAAACATAATTTATAGCAACATGGTTATTCACAGTTATTCACTCTTCATACCTTCTTATCTTGATTTCTACCATGTCCATAAACCATTTCAAACATTGTCTTTTGTGTTTCAAACTTGATACCTCTCTATTTTTAAAGATCTCATCAACTTTTTGGTCTTCTCTTCCTCTAAAATCCATTCACACTTTCCTTTACCTTGTTGTTTTTTGAAGTTTGATCTTTTTCCCCCTATATGAACAATCTACCTCAATGTACATATTTCATAGTGGTAATTTAGTTTTGCATTTAGCCTGCATTTATTCATCATCCATTCTTCACCTAACTCATCTAAAATTATTTTTCATTGCATTCAACTTACTTTTGAATAACCAACCAACTAATTGACATGATAACTGTCACTTTTATTTAACAAAGTTGGCTGAAAGGCACTAATCCACCATTATAATTTTCCTTTTTCTGACAAATATTTGTTTCTCTCAACAGACCACATACTTTTCATTACCTTCCAGTCAGCATTTGCATGTCTTAAAATTTCTCACTCATTTCCCCATCTTTAGGAAACATCTGACCAAGATATACACAGCTATTTATATAGAAATTACTATTGTTTACCACATTCTTCCTGTTAAGCACAACAACCTTTGTCTTTCATATACTAATTTTAGGTTCATACTCCTTATTAGGTAAATTGTATGATGTAATGTCTACTGCAGATGGTTCTCACCCTAAATATAGCATTATCTGCATACACAAATGTACACATATTTAAGTGCCCACAAACTAACTATCATAGCTCTAATATCACCATACAGGTTCTTTTTATCACTATCCTTAAATGCATTAAAGTAACATCATACATTTTTATCTTACTCCCTACAAATTTCTAAAACTTTCCCTCCAATATTCCATTTCACCATTTCCTTTTTAATTTCAGTTATTACAGTGGAGACTATGTATTTAGCCCTTTGCCTACGCTTTCCAAACATTTTATTTCTATTATAATTTTACACACACACACACACACACACACACACACACACACACACACTCTTAATGCACATTATACATTCTCATTTTTGCAGTAATCAGACTTTTTACATATACTCTACCATTCCTCTACAATTTAACTTCAGCATTCCAATAAGCATCTTTACTTTCATTACTATAAAGTTCTCTCTGTGTAAGAGACTAGGAGGATGACTTTTGTTGCGACAGAGCAATATGGTTGCCCTTCTGGAATTTAATAATTTTTAAACTGCCGAAGAGATCAGAGAAATCATTTTATAAACCAGAATNGATGGATGGATAGATGATATAATCTGCAGAGATAGTTCTCATTTAATGTACACTTAGGATAAATTTAAAAAAAATAAAGTCTTGACTCATTTCTAGTGGAAAAACCAGAAGAAGAGATATGCAAACAGTGATATAGCTGACATAGAGTCTCTGATGCAATGCAGGAAATGTTGAAAAGGAAGATTTAGCTTTTTGAACACCTTTAATAGGCTTCCTCAGAGTTTTAATTAGTCAAAGTTCCAAGCAGTAGCTGACAGCTGGCAGAATCTCCCATCTCCGGTTAAAGTCAAGCTAATTAAGATTCTAAAAAGAAAACATATTCTGTCCAGCACTCTTAATCAGTCAGCTTTGGTTAGGAAAGCAATATGGAACCTTTTGCCTTGACAACTTCATAACCTTGGATACGTGGACCTTCTAAATAATAATGAACCAATTTCTCAACATGGTCACTCCAGGTATCCTATCTGATGTATTAGCTGTTTCCCCCACCTGCTGTTTAATTTTCTAGTATTGAGTTTCTTTAGGATCTAATTTTACATGAGAAACTTTTGAAAAAGAAGGGTTTTTTTGTGTGCAATAACCCAGACATACTGGATTGTTTCCACATCTATTCATTCTCTGCCTAGGTTCATAGTCTACTTTGAGATTCAGCAAACTGATATTAAAGTCTATCTTGAAAGGAATCTGGGCTGAATTTTGCAGCCCAGGGAAAATTAACAGTAGTAAATTAGGAATGATTGACAGTAGTAAACCCATTAGATATTAATGTAAATAAAATATGTGCATGAAAAAAAAAACCTGGTTCTTGACAAATAAAAAAAATAGAAATATATAAAAATAGAAACCAGATGAATATGAGTTCTAGGCATGAAAGCAGGCTGGGTAATTTTGATCCAGTTTTTCTCTCTCAGCTCACCTCATTGTTGTGGAAAAATCAGGGAAAGGAAGGAGCATGAGGTGGCACAGTGGTTAAAGCAGTGGTGGCGCAGTACTGCAGGCTACTTCAGCTGACTGCTAGTTGCAGTTCGGCAGTTCAAATCCCACCAGGCTCAAGGTTGACTCAGCCTGCCATCTTTCCAAGGTGGGTAAAATGAGAACCCAGATTGTTGGGGACAAGAGTCTGACTCTGTAAGCCACTTTGAGAGGGCTGTGAAAGCACTGTGAAGTGGTATATAAGTCTAAGTGCTATTGCTATGAGTATCTTCACTGCCATGAGTTCTTTATAAAATAATAAGGGCAGGTGTTCTGACCCCCCTCGTTCCACACCAAAGCACACTCCGAGCCAAAGATACTTTACGCAATTTATTAAC